TTCAATGAACTCTCTAAACAGAATGCAGACATCATTTTTATACAAGAAACTCACAGCACACCAGAGGTAGAAATGAAATGGAGTAAAGAATGGACATTTGGAAACAGTATTTGGAACTCTGCATCATCAAACTCTGGAGGTGTAGCAATATTACTCAAATCAAAATTGAATAGTTTTGATTTTCAAAACATTTTATGGGATAAGGAGGGAAGAACATTAGCAGCAGATATCAAAGTATATGGTGAAAAACTGCATTTAGTAAATGTGTATGCACCATGTAGGACAAATAATAATATACAAGATTATTTTTATGATGGGTTATATAGGTTTCTTTTTTCACAACATGCAATAATTTTAGGGGGGGACACAAATTGTGTACATGACATTGATAGGGATAGAACTGGAAATATTAAAAGACCGAGACGAGAATATGTCTCAGACACTCTAAATGAATTGGTTGAATGTTTTGAGCTAACTGATTCAATTGAATTAATTCCTAATGTAGCACCTTTTTATACCTGGCGTAATAACCAAGTTCAAGCCAGACTAGATAGAATTTATGTCACATCCAATGAAACTGTTGTCCAAAAAATAATGTGTGAACCAACTATTTTTTCTGATCATGATGCATACTTGATAACGATAGAAATTAAAACAGAAATGAAAGAACGTGGAAAGGGCTATTGGAAAAATAATGTTAGTGTTTATAATGAAGAAGAATATATTTCAAAGTTAAAAAACAAATGGGACAACTGGATCACATTACAGTGGCTATTTCCCACCAAAGCTGAGTGGTGGATTGAGATAAAAGAAAAAACTTAACAATTAGATTTTCTGTGAAAATGGCCAAGGAAGAAAGAGAAGAATATAAAATTGAATTGGATAATTTTTAAAGTTATTGAAGAAAAAACTGGATAAAGGAGAGAGAGTGATGACAAGATTTAAACAAACAAAACAAAAATTGATCAGGATGCAAAAGAAAAAGAATGAAAAAATTGGTATACAAGGGATGGCAGAACAGTATGATAGTCATGAGAAATGCAATGAATACTTTTTTAAATTATTCAAGACAAGGCAGAAAGAATCAAGTATAAGGAAACTAAAAAATAAAAATGGAGAAGAATGTGAAACAATCCAAGATAAAATGAACATTGCAAAAGAATTTTACCAAGAATTGTATAGCAAAAGACCATGTGAAGAAACAAAACAAAGACTATTTTTAAACAATGTGGATAAATCATGTCGCCGAATAAATGAGAATCAAGCTGAAAATTTAGAGGATATAATTCAACTGGATGAGATAGTGAAGGTTATCAAAAACCTAAAGGAAAACAAATCACCGGGTCCTGATGGAATAGAAATAGAATTTTATAAAAAGACATGGGAAATTATTAAAGATGAATTTTTAGAAGTAATACAAGAATTATTTATAACAAATGATATGCCGAAAGAAATGAAAATGGGTTACACAACTTTACTATACAAGAAATGAGAAGCAAATCTAATAAATAACTACAGACCAATAACTCTTCTAAATTCAGATGATAAAATATTCAGTAAAATTCTTGCCAACAGAATCAAAATAATTCTACCAGATATTATAGATAGAAACCAAGGAGCCGTACCTGGGAGGAGGATAAGTGACACACTGCTTATCATCAGAAATATTTGCATACAGGAACAAAATAAAGTAGGGGGAAAGGCATTGTTATCATTAGATTTTATGAAAGCATATGATTCAGTAGATTTAGATTATTTATATAAGATTTTAGAAAGATTTGGCATAAAAAATAAATTCATCATGTTATTAAAGAGTGTGTATAAAGATGCTGAAACTAGAATACTAGAAATGGATATTTAAGTGAAAAAATCAAACCAGAAAGAGGAATTAGACAAGGCGATCCAATGAGTATTTTCACGTTCATCATAGCGATAGAACCTCTTTTAATTAGTATAAACTTGAATAAAGATGTTAGGGGAATCGTGACTCCAGGAAATATGGAACTGAAAAATTTAGGATTTGCAGACGATGTCACACTGTTTTTAAATAAGGAAAGTTCTATAAATGAAGCATTAAAAGTTATCGATGAAAATGAATTGGCTACTGGAATGAAATTGAATAAAACTAAAACAAAACTCGGAATATGGACAAATGACCCTTCATTTCAAAACATCATCATAACAGATACAGTAGAAATATTGAACGTTAGTTTTGCCAATAATAATACTGGAAATTTGAACTGGAATAATAGCAGTTGAACTTCAAAAAATACCTCTTACGTTAGAAGGAAAATGTTTGATAATAAAACTCAAGTTATTACCTAAATTTTTGTTTTTATGTAAAATATTCCCGATGCCAAAAAATATAGCCAAAAAAGTGGATGAAATTATTGAAAAATTTGTATTCAATGGAAAAAGAAAGCTCAAAATAGAAACCATCCGTAAACCAAAATGTATGGGGGGTATGATATAATTAATATTCCAGTTTTTACAATGTCTATGTATATTATGTGTGTTTTTGAATATATAGAAACTATAGAAAATAATGTGATATTTAGTGACAGAACTATCAATTTTAATTACTTAGAATATAATATAGGGCAACAGTTATGTGTTTATTTAGGTCTACCATTAAATAATAGTGTATTGCATAAATTTAGTCCACATGAATATTATAAAAGTGTGATCGATTTTATGAAAACTTATAATTTAAATTTGTCTGATATCAAAATTGGTAAACATAGAATTATATATGATAAAGTTATAAAAAGTATTAATGGGGAAAGACTTGTGATTATCCGCAATTTGAATCTCAGTGTAACTTGCAATAGTATTCACAATAAAATTTTGGCAAATTATGTAAAAACATTTAACTATAAGTTACTATGGGATATTTTACCTTTGAAAACAAAACCAGAAATCAAAAGAGTAGCCGGAAATGAAGTGTTTGTATTATGCAATAAAGATCCTGAGTTTGTGTCACATATTTTTATGTCTTGTGAATTTACCAGGGAAATTTATGATGATTTTGTTTACTTAATTATATTAAAATTAATTAGAATACATTTTGTTACAAATTATGATTCTTGTGTAATATTAAATTTTAATGATCCTTTATAGTTTATTTAGTCATATAAAAAGTGTAGATTTAAATGCAATTATTCTTTTAATATCAATAGTTCGATATAAAATTTGGATTATGAGAAATTCTATCATATTTGAAAATAAGACACTTGACATAACACGTCTTAAAAAACAGATAAAAATGGCCCTAATGCATAGAAAAAGTATAGAGAGTTCCAGAGTAAACAAACCCTTTAAAAGGAATTACAGAATTTATGTGAAGCAATTACACCTACTAGAAGTACGTTAGGTACGAAACTACATGAAAACCCTGCTGAAATACCCCCAACGCAAATGTCTGAATGTGGTATGAAAATGAATGTTGTACCGTACCGGTAAGTGCTCAAATAACAAAATTGTGATGTGAAAATACAACCCAAATTTTTATTTATTTTTCTAAGAATGAAAGTCCGTCTTGCGCGAACGCTAATACGCTAAACGCATGTGACAAACGGGAGGCAGACAACTCGACTCAAGAATCAGTACCGGTGCGGTACGACGCTCAATTCACATCACAATTTTGTTAGGCGTTACTTAGCAGTTACGGCGTTTACTTCACTAGACCCGAATATTTGAACATAATAATTTTCGGGTTTGGTATAGTTTAGTACCACGTGCACTTCCAGACTTTTAGTTTGCCTGGCTCAGCAATTTTTGTATGTCATTCCTAACCCCCACCTGGCTTCGTCACATGAAAATTACGCCACTACTGCACTACCATGTCCCAGTAGCGTAATAAAGCCCTCCCAAAGTGTACGGATGGTCATCACCCGAAATCGAGCAAGCTATTTTTCTCGTTGCAACGATCCCGATATGAGAAAGGTTGCTGGCTCTGTCTAGTGAGTTCGTTATCGGCGGCGCTAATGCCATTACGGGTGAACGTAGCTATACTTCGGCACGCTCTGACGTGTTTGTGATATCGTAGTGACGCAATTTTTGGATGACATAGTCAGGTGGGGGTTACAGGTTTGGGAATAACATATGCAAAATTCGTTATGCTACGCCCACTAGAAGTACATATGGTACTAAACTATACTAGACCCGAAAATTTGACGCATGTTCACTAAATGCCGTGAGTCCTTCTATTTGGCATGGAACAACCATTTTTGCACATGTAATTCCTGGTCTCGCCATCGGTTACGTCACTACGACCTCACAATCACGCTCAACACGGCACACTATCCAGATTCCAAGAATTTGGCTCAATAGAGCAAACACTCCATGTGTCTCACAAATAAGGGGCGTCTGGCACCATGTCAGATGCTTCATATCACGCCATGCCTGTCTCAATACTAATCTAAATTGATCACGGCCTATAGTGGTCACGTGATGTTTTTTGGTAAAATTTCTTGAATGCCACGGTAAAAATGTTTTTCCTTCTGTAAATCGGATTATTTTTTCCTGAGGAATTCAACGATGACGTTATTAGATTGGGCTTTTTTGTAGTATTTTGCGCGACTTCATTATACTGTATTATTATCGATATTGAGGGACAACAATGTCCAGACGTCTCCCAAAAGAGGGGTGTTTGATCATCGGTAAAATGGGTTTCTCTGAAATGAGACAATGTCTCTCGATCTGTATAGTGTGCCGTACTGACGCCAAGGAGCTTGCCAAAGTATAGCTAGGATTGCCTGAAATAGCATCTTCGCCAACGATAACGAACTCACTAACGCTAGCGATCTCTCTCATATCGTGATCGTTAAACGACGAGAAACGAGAGAAATAGCTTGTTCGATTTTGGGTAATCATCTGTGCGTCTAGGATGATAGTTAGTATAGTTTGGGGGGCCTCATTACGTTACTGTGATGTCATAGTGATGTAATTTTTTAATGACTTAGTCAGGTGGGGGTTAGGAATAACATGCAAAAATGGCTGTGTCACGTTAACTAGAAGTACTTACGTCGTGTTGTGAACATGGCCCCAATTTTCGAACATAGTAAATATTTAAAAAATTATCACTACTGCTGTACTGGTTTCAGGTTTTTGATATTACTATTAAACATTAAACAGGTATTACGGTACTGATAAGAAGATTCACAAATGAAGATGTCTCAGTATTCTTATGAACAAGAACTAGATTTTAATGAAGCAAGAGCGGATTTGGATAGTGTACTTCAAAACATTGTAGCAAAGGCTAATGCTGGAGATTCGTCTCCTGCCAGTGATAAAATTAATGACATTGAAAACATGTTGCTACAATCAGATAAAAATAAAACAATATCTGATAGCGAAAGTCCTCAAAAATCTAGTTCCAGGTCCACACGTAAACGTCGAAGAAAAGATGACAATAAAGAAGAAAAACAGAAAGCAAACTCTTGTGTTATGAAATTATTTGATCGAAGCGTTGATCTGGCCCAATTTTCAGAAGATACTCCGTTATATCCAATCTGTAGAGCTTGGATGAGTAATGATCCATACACAAGAAAGGTACATGGTATTCCATCTGATGATCTTGATGAGGCTTCCGTCAATGATGGAAACTCTGAAGAGCCGATTACAATTCCACCCCCTAATACACCATTTAAGAATTTTAGTCCTAATGGAAAATATGTGAGTGCACGTATCCCATCACCCATTCCTCAACCAAGCGATCGACTGGAAGATTATTTGCAGCAAAAGAAGGTTATACCTAGAGCAGAAACATTGCTATTAAATCATTTACAACATTGGAAAAATGTTCGGGAGAAATGGATTGCAAAATCTGCAGAAAATGAAGAGCGTTATTCGTCTGGAATGGCACTATTAAAAGATATGGCAAACAGGCAACTTTGTGCTAGTAATCTTACATAAAGGAGTCACTATATCATAAAATGTCACTGTGATTAAACTGTTACTGAGGGGCTCCCGAAGTATGCGAACCAAGATGGCGGACATCGGAATGTAATATGTGTACTAGGTTAGGGTTAGGCCATAATTTTAGCTATAAATACTACGGGAGGCTCTTTGCTAGTCTTCGAACTGATAATAGGACTAAAATAAGGAAAATTGGAAAAAAATTATCGCCTAACCCTAACCTGTTACCCAACTTTGCTATCAATGAGAGAGACAATAGTACGGTAATCATCAAATTTAGTGACATTTGTTTAAGACCGACTAATTGTGATTGACATTTATACGAATATTGGATTTCCCATTTGTTACAATATTTGTCTAATTAATCCTCTCTAATGAAGTGGGGGGACTATGGCAGCCACGAAATATTCTAAATTTTATGTATGTTTTCCATATGTTTGTGTATTATCTTTCTGTTGGGAGGAAAAGTTTGTCGCCTCAAGAAAATTTGCCTTTTCTATTTCTACCTTACTTTACATAAATTGTGATTTTCTATTTCAGAATTTGAAGTTTAGTATAGCAGCCTTTCAATATGGTTAAAATATTTGTTGGTAACATACCATCAGATTGTGCAAGAGCTGATGTCCTTGATATATTTGAAAAATATGGGAAAGTGAGAAGTTGTGATATCATAAGGAACTTTGCATTTGTTCATATGGACAATGAGGATGATGCGAGAGATGCCATTGAAGCACTTAACAACTCAAGATTCATGGGTTAGTACTTATGAAACAAGATATGCAATAGTCACCTTATTTTGCATTTTTGTATTTAATTCTTTTTGGTTGCATTATGTAAGCTAGTTAGAATATTTAATTTGTTCCATATTTTAGAGTTTAGCACATTCCCGAGAAGAGTTTTTAATTTATACACGATGAGACGATTAATTCATACTTTTTTCCCAACTCTTATTCCGTATACTGTTTAGGCATTTTACCATTTCATATCATACTGGGACCATTTCCATTAATTGCAAGCACAATGGTATCTGAGGATACACTTATGTAACACTCTTGGTATCATTTAGTACAGCAGCATAAAACGAAAAAAATTGTTAACTTACGAAAGTGAAACAATAAAATTTTAAAATTATTTCATCAGGTGGCGAGATTACTGTGGAAGAATCTAAAAGTCGTCCAAGAAACACACAGAAATTATATGTTGGAAACTTATCTTCCACTGCCAATCGTAGAGAATTGGAAAAACTGTTTGAAAAATATGGAGAAGTTGTTTCGTGTGACATCATCAAAGATTATGCATTCGTTCATATGATGAAAGAAAGAGAGGCAGAGAAAGCAATTAAAGAATTATCAGGAGTAAATTATGCTGGCAGAAAAATTGTTGTTGATTACTCTCGTAACAATGACAACAACCGTAGGTTTGATAACAGATATGGTAATGATGGAAGATATGGCAGGGATTACGGTAACGACAGGTATTTAATTTTCATATTTATGCATCACTTTTTAAACAATTCCGACTTCCGAGTTATCTTTATTCTCAAGTTATTGGATGTTTTGGTTCTATATATGTATACTATGTAATGACTGTGGCTGGTCTACTTTGTTATAAATTTATTCGCTCCAACCAGGAATACGGTAAATGATGTGATATTAACATCACAATATTTTATTGATCCCTGGCAATAGAGTTTTATTCATATCAAAGTATACCATCATTTATTCAAGTTACATTGCATAAATAAAAAGTGTTTTAATACATTTCCCCCTCTTCTAAATTGATGTGAGTGTATCGAAAGAAACTCTATATTATGTCTCAGACTCGGTGCTTTATTTGTGGTACATACATAGGTTTCAAGTTTAGTTGCCTTTATGGCTGATGTGGTTTCTCCAATTCGAATGGAAGTATTGATGTTTTGTATGCTTATTTATTTTATTTAAGATTGTATTAAACTCCAATTTGTAATTGTTATGCCAGGCTCTTATCATACTCAGTCGAGAGTGAATGGCCCGTTGCCTTGTTCTTACGTATACATTCCTGGTTAAATTGAATATATAGATGGTCGTTCGTTGTGTCTTGTTCGATCGATTCGAGAAAAGAAATCTGACCGTTCATTGTCTGCTCGTTCGTATACTAGGGAGAATATGTCTGCTCTGTGTCGACACTTGCTGAGTTTTCGATCGTACAGATCTGCTCCTTTGTCAAATGAGTGTTGGATAATGTCGTATCACTTCACTAGTTTGTACCGTTTGGTCAACGGCGTTAAAATATAACAGAATCAGTCTCATCACATAATATATATGTGCGTGATATTATGTTAACTCAATCGAGCAACTGGCTAAGCGTAAAATACAGGTATAGTTCCCATCCCATTTCCGATATTTTATGAGTTTTTAAAATGCCAATTAGTAAGAATATTTCAATCTGTACAAATGGATTCCTGATGATATGCTGTGATAAGATATGACAAACTTTTCATGCTATTGTAATCTAACCAGCTCTTCAATCATTATTTAGTTATTGCACAAGACTAGTGAAACTGTTATCTTTCCAACACATTTTTGTACTCGTACAGGTATGGAGGTTATGGGGGCGGGGGCTATCGTGGACGTGGCGGGGGTTTTGGTGGTGGCTATCGCAGAGGTGGTGGATATTACAATAACTACAATAATTATAATCAAGGAGGAGGTTATGGAGGTGGCAGATACAATTCATACAATCGTGACCGATCACCAATTCGTCGAAGACGTGATTCCAGATCGCGCTCTAGAAGTATGTCAAAGTCTCGGAGCCCACAGCATCGTGATGACCGCTACCATACTCGTAGCAGATCTATGTCCAACAGTCCTGATCGAGGTAACTCAGCAGCGAAAAAATCAGCTTCAAGAAGTCCCAAGTCTGCCAGTCCACAACATAGTGATGCACGAGATCGAAATCGTTCAGTTTCTCGTAGCCGCTCAAAATCACGTACTCCGGTACAAGACTCTCCAGGGAGAAGAGGATCAGGTTCCAGAAGTCGATCACGATCACCCAGTGGCAGTCCACAACATCGGGGTACTCGCTCTGTGACACCTGACGGAAAGAGTAGATCTTCTGAAAGTGAATAAAACATTTTGTCTGGCTAATGTGTACAATGTTCTCAGAAGTGAGGTGTAAAAATACATTTTTTGTGGTATTACTTTGTGATGGTGAAAAGCACTGAGCTGATATTGTGATTTGTTTCAGAAAATGTTCTTGTATGAACACCTGAAAAAACCATTAAAATTTCACAACTTACACATACCAACATCATGCATTAGATTAGTTTTGCCTTTTAATGTTAAGGATGTCGATACAATCTAGGATTCACAATTAGGCTAGGGTTGTTTCATACCGAATACACTTCCTGAAATTCTTTTTAATGAGGTAAATAAGTCATATCTAGTCTGAGAGGGATCTGCGGGGTATAGATTTGATGTGTTTGGTGTTGAAACTGATGAAACCAACTGTGCAGCCCAGATTTTGAGACTGAAAATAGCAAATTTTCAGATGTTCTTTAAATAAAGAACTTGCTTTATGTTAGATTTGAATAATACACTTATTTTATGCTGATACTTTAACAGGCAGGCTTGAATATGATCTATGTCAGTTTCATAAATGCTTGTATAAATATGGAATGCGCCTAAATTACACTTTTGTATTTTTTATATAGCCATAATGAATACAGCTACTTTATACATTGGGTAGGATGATGAAAAATTAGTCTCAATCATTTTTTGTGATGTTATTCAATTTGATTATAAATTCTACAATTGCGTCCTTCCAGTTTACATTATAACATTCTTACATTGCCGTTTTAGTGTCAGTGCATGTATATAATCATTTTTATCTTGTGGTTAATAAAATCAAGCAGCGTGATTGTAATGATTACCTTGTTGACTTGCTGTATTTCACATTTACTTATGGGTGACTTTGTTATGATCGACAAATTACATGCAGGAGTACATTTATGACGAAAATAATCCGCACTGGCGTGGCTACAGTTGAATATGAAGCGCGAGATGAATTGGCTGATTCGAAACTATTGTGAGATTGCAGTTGGACCCGTGTTCTCTCCAGCGCCCACGGAATTGAATGATTTACGGGTTCAAGTTAATCGTGCACCCTAACTCAATTTGCAACAGACCGGGAACTTGGGATGCGATTTTACATATGATTATCAGTTTTCCCCTCCAAGAGCTGTCGAAGCTATCTGTCGTCAAATTCGTTATCAACAACTGCACGCCCTCACACCCCGTATAATATTATTTCGTTATTTTTGACGCGTGGTGCCATTTCGGCCGGCGCTGCAGCGCTAGTCAAGCGTGATGATTGTTGTCGGCGGATCGGTTGACAACAAGACGAAAGCTCTTAGCTCTTTATTTTTTCTCATGTAACCTTGGTTGCCTAGAAATGTTCGCGTCTAGTTATAAATATGAAACCACCCATTTTGATTGGCGCTTCGTCGTACTATATGATTCAACTAATGGTTACAAAGAAGGGAGAGTAATCTTGTCGTACCAAACATTTCCAACAGCGAGTGGAATTTCTGAAACCAATACGTAGTTAGTATTTCTGACTTCGGTGAAGCCCCGTCGCCGATATCACACTTTCTCTGAATAATAAATTAGATAACTGGCCCAAAGATCTGAAGCGACCGGTGTGTGACTACTTTCAGGACATGACGTAAGCTTATGCCGGTATATATATATGACAGAATGCAACTATGGATTAGAAAAAAACGATAACACTGTGGAAGGGCTATATGCTGACTATATCATTAGGTATACGAAAACTTTGAGGAAAACACCAAAATAATGCATTAACAGAATAACGCAAGGTAGCAAAATGACAGGATATGTGATCTAGTCTAAACTAGCACAGTGATGTGTAAAGGCACGAGATTCTGGTATATTTTAAAACAAATAGGAGAATCGCATGACCGAAATGAAAAAGACTCTACTACAGCAAAAGTTTATAGTTTACATTGTAGAAATCAAAAGATTGGCGTTTTGATATATGACAATTTTGACTTATATCTGGCCCGAATGAAATACAGGCCTGAATGGCTTCACATAACTAGCAACAGAATTCCTTTACGGACATTTATTTTTATATAAATTTTTTTTATATGTCTTATCGTTATATATATATCAGCCTATACATAAATGGAACGGGAGTCGAAGTTTATCAAAACGTCTTCGAGTCAATTTTCAGAATTTGTCAGAATTGCAAATTTCCAGTTATAATAGGATATGTCAAAACTTACGATTAAAACTCAAAAAAACTTTAACAGCCTAAAGCAGTGGTTTTCAACCTGGAAGATAATCAAGTGGTACGCGAGCAGCTTTGAAATATCGCAACAATTAACCTTTGAGTTGGCCAAAATATGCCGATAACGCTTTATCTTCCATACTGTAAGCATTTGCTCAACGGCCTTATGAATGTTTCCCCGTGCATCAATTTCCTTATTTATTTCCGTAACCAGCAATGATCAGTAAACATTGCCTCGTTTTTGCAGTGTTATTTTTCCGTTGCATTTCAAAAAAATAGTTGTGAATTAAATTCGAAGAAGCAATAATTTAGTTGCTGTTATCAAAAATGAGTCACGCAAATATCGCGATAGACTAACCTAAACTATGCTATCAGTGCTTTTAAGCCGCACATGGTTGAATAGTTTTAATAAAAAATGAGGGTTTTCAAACACGTTAACCAGATTATAAGCGTCAACACATCAAAACACTCTCAAAATAAGTATAAAAATTTTTGCATTAGTAAAGTATGGAAAGAATTTTTCTGGGGTCAAGGGTCGGAGAAACATCTTATGGGCCTGACCAGTCTTTAGAGATCGCCCTCGCCTGCTATTGTCCACGATCGAATCGAGATGGGCATGTTTTCGTTCGTCTTGCGAATTAGGTCTCTAAGGATGTAGTGCCACATTATAAAATACTCCCATAGCGCGCGTCTTGTGCCATTGTTCCCTGCGCCAATAAGGTTTTTATTTTTTCAGTGGTACGCGGCCAGAGTAGAAAAAAACAGTAAAGTGGTGAGCGGTCAGTAAAATGTTGAGAACCACTGGCCTAAAGAGAGCCTGCATACGCCAAAGTTTTCTTTATGAAAATTTGATTTTCTCAAATTCTGAGTCAATCACTGAGTGACTCTAGCAGTCTAGCCTCTACAATACAGGCCGCAGTTTGCCCTATAGCCATGTACTCAACAGGGCTCGATTACACTTTACTTTCAGCTCCTTGTGTACTAGTCGCACGCGTCCATCTCATCACTCAGATCTGTACACTCTTAATTTATCCTAATTATATATATTGCTTGGTATGTTCCGTTCCCTAAACTGAAAGGCAGAATAAGATTTTTACTTTCATGCGTCTTACGTGAGTTTTCCATTGATTTTACTGCGTTGTAGAGCTGTAATTTCTCTAAAATCAGTCTCAATATTAGACTACGGTTTGTATCACCTAGATACAGGGATTCGCGAGAAGATTTCCAGGGGTACGTGGATGACAGTCGAGTTTTTGTATGTTGCTGTTTTTTAATATCCTTTATTACTACCGTGGGAAAATGCGTGTCCATTAAAACTAGACGCCAATTGAAACGTAGATTTTCCCTGATCTTGCGTTGTTGTGATTATGACGCAACAATGTGAAATCCAAGGCTTTGCGTACAAACTGTGAAATCTCTAAATACAGCGTGCTGCGAGCATTGCAAAACTGATTATGCTTATTGAAACTTGAAAGAGATTTTGAGAATTCATTAGTTAGGAAGACGACAAGGGCAATAATATCAACAAGTTGGGGGGTAGTTGACAGAAAAAAGGTTGAGAAGCCCTGACCTAGAATCTTGGTTTGACAAGCGTCTTGCATACCAAATGCGAATAGGGCGAAGCGATTGATTGTCGTGCCAGTTGAGAATTATTGTGGCAATTTTAAATCAATTTTATGTAGAATCGATTGGGCTTTAGTCAATGCAGTCTATGTTGCGTGTCAGACGGTAAGTATATATATATATGCAAACAAAATATATTCAACACATCAATAGCAGTCGTAAGAGCTAAGTGGATTGTAAGAACATCATAGTATTGAGTTTATATTGACTCCTTTCGTGCATTCAGAAATAAATCGTAAAAGTTAGATTTGTGTATGCGTATAAGCTCAAAATATGTGTTTACTTATGGCAAGACAGGATGCATCTTTCGTGCACAAGATGAGACAAAAAAGTTATCTGTTTCTACTTGGAGTTTTGTTGGTCTTCAGTCCTTATGTCGCTATGGTTGTTTTACAAAGCAGTATCAATGTTCAAGGAGGATTAGGTCTGTTCATCTATGTTTTCATTTTATAATTTTCTGTTTCTAGTTGCAATCAGTTACATTTGTGTATGGTTAATAGGTTTTTTTAAAATCTGTGCAATTTGGTAATGAGCGCTAGCGAGCCGACGGGTGTATTTGGCCAGACCGGAACCCAAGAAGTACAAAATTATAATAAATCTCCAGGGCACCAGAAAACGTGACATCCATAACACCCGTTTCTACACTCGCTGGTGACCAATCACTCAGTGGCAAACCTGCTCGATATACTTTTATGCAATCACTCGCTATATTATATACATCAACTGCGAATAGTTAACTAGGCAGTGAATGCCCGTGTACACGATCCCCCTGCGGTAAAAAACGAATTTCAGTTATCATCGCCCGTATACTTACTCATCTTTTGAAACATTCTAGATCATGTCATGTATATATCGGTATATTTTAGTCGATGCCGATATCACAAAATCGCAGATATTGCCGATACCGATATACATCGTTCAGGATTGGTGTTCGTCTACCGATTTGTTCGAGTACCGAAACTTTTTTTTGCCATAAGAAACATCGATAATTATTTGAATGTATACATGTGTAATAAAAATCAAACATAATAAAGATAAAAATATAAAAAAAATTTGTGACAGTTACTGTACGTCTGAGCAAATTTCTGTGGCTCTATTGAATTCGTTTTTTTTATGTGCGATGACGTCATCAAAAATTGTCCAATTCATGGTTCCGCTTTCGCGTTAGTCGTGAAGATTGCCGTTCCTTACACCCAGTGATGAGCTGGGAAAATCGTAACAACCGGAACGCAGCTAATTCGTGAAAATGTAATATATATTTACAACACGACGCGGACGCTACCACAAATTTTTGTCTGTCCTAAGATAGAGCCGAAGGACTACAATGAAATATAAAGAAATTATCTGGTATATGTCTGTTTAAAATTACAAGAATATTTATACCAATTCAATTCGAATGTGTTTATTAGAAAGGTATAGGATAAAATCTCACGGGGTCAAAGATCGGCGAAACATTCATTACACGTTATTGCTGTGCACTAAATATTTGTCTGCTGTAATGTAAAAAGAATTATGGCGTAAAAAAACGCAAGTTATAATAGGTAAGTTTACAAGATGTACTAGAACTAGACTTTCTATGACATAATTTTATTTCAACAACCGGAACGCAAATGCAATAAAATGTCTAACAACCGGAACGCCGTTCCGGTGCGTTCCGGCTACAGCTCATCACTGCTTACGCCTACTGTATCAGATTGCATACATGTACCACTTCGTTTTGGCTTTCGCTCCCTAGTTGAATGGTCAAGAGGCAGCCGAGATGCGCGATTCGGATGACGTCATCTCACTCAGCGGCGCGCTCGGGTGTTCGTGCACCTAATTCCCGTTCGAGTACCGCAGCATTTTTTATCAGAATTTTTTGGCCGACTGCCGAATTTTTCGAGCATCGAGTCGTTCGACTACCGAGGTATCACTGTAAAAATATGATTTGTATTATGATGTCACAAATTTTAAATTATTAAATAAGATAGCTTCTCAACGAAATCCCGGGTATGTCACTGGTGATGAAGGAAGATGTAATCAAATAGTGGTTGCAAGCAGCGGCCCCAACCATCCTCTCGCACATATTTATCCACCTCTAGATGAGAACCTGCATCATACATATAAACACCATTGAAGTAAACATATAGCCTTAACTTTTCCCTTAAAATTGCTGCCATATGGAATGCCCTTCTCGTTCGATTACCAACTTTTTCTCTTCTGATCCCTTCTTTATCAACAGATACTCAGAAGACAAAACTGAAAGTTTATTTTTCAGGTTTGTATTCTCTGGGGTTAGCGTATGGAACATCCGTGTTGTTTACTTTGCTGGTCAATCCAGTCATTATTCGGAGGTAAGAGTGTTTTATGCAAATCGTTACATTTTGACATGACCCGTGTATATGTCAATTACCTCATAAAATGGTAAAATGATATGTTTTAATAGCTTCAAGTTTGATCAACTCGCTATGCTAAGCAATATATCTTGGGACTAAAGATATTTGATGATTATCTAATAAATATAAATGCAATTATACAACATTTTTTGCATCCTGTACAATGAAAATAAATATATGAATCTGAAATCTATATTTTAGATTTGGAAGTAAACGCGCATTATTGGCCGGTGAAGTCACATATATTATATACTTTCTGGCAAACTTCTTTCCTGGTGAGTTTATGCATTTATCAAATAATGCCCGTACGAGCTTGCATTTTAAATAGAATACCTCAATCTTGCACTGTCAGAATTGAGAAAGAAATTATTTCATTTTCAGTTTTCTTATTTTTCAGGCAGTTGTTACACTCCAAGCCCTTTCGAATGCTGAAAAATAAATTATGCTTGACAGTATGCTGTCCGTTTATTACAGTCTGTGACACAGCATTATTATCATTAAGTTTGTATTAATTTTCAGAATCTTATACGTTGTTACCAGCTGGGATAATTGTTGGTGCTGGAGAAGCACTTACGTGGACTGTATTTGTAATGTATTCTCTACAATTTGGACAACAAATAGCAAAGTTGTTATCAAAACAAGAACATCAATACGCCGAAAAATACAGTGGAAGATTCGTTGCAACTTTTCAGTTAAGTCAAGTACGGGGGTTACATTAATATCTACGTTGACATAACTTGTCCTGACGTATTTATAACAACCTAGTCTTGGAAATTCGGATTTAATCTAACTATAGGATATAATATAGGCCTACTATACTACTGCAGAATAAAGTGTTACAGTTACATATTTTCAGTATGTTACAGAGTTTACCGACTACTCGTGGCTTGTACGAATGTCAGTTTATTCCAACTAATTTCAGATACATCCAGTTACTTTCTGTTTTAGATTTTGGGGAATTTAATAAGTTATGCAATTCTATATGGAGGAAAAAATCATTCTGGCAACTATCTTCCGAATAATACAACGACAAACTCATCGGTGAAGATGGTTACTTCAGATTTCAGATACTGTGGCGCAAATGATTGTCAGAATGCTAATTTAACAAGAGAGGCACTTGATCAATATAAACCACAAGACCCTCATACCATGTACATTTTAATATCTGTCATGATATTTGTGTCAATATGTGGAATTGTAACACATTCCTTGATTTTACCGTCGGGAGAATTATCAAACCTCACGATCACGAAAGTGAATCCTGAAGGCAAAGAAGAAAATATCTTTATTGCTGAGAAAGATCATTTAAAGGATAAGGTATTAATTATCCTATCTAACTCAAAAAATAAACATAAGATTCTGTTCAATTTTTATTCATACCCAGTACCTACCTATATAGCAGATACCCAGAAACTATGGTCACCTATTTTGCAATGCGGGGAATATAATTGCAATATCGAGCCACAAGTTAGTAGTAGTGAATCTCTGTATGTACCGTTGCAGAATCGTGTGGAGTCTCCCAATGCAGAACAATTAGCAAAAAATGGATGCCAACTAGTTTTGAACACCTTTAAAACAACCTTCAATCACGTCTGTAGCAAGTATCAACTTCTGATTACTCCGCTCACGATTTGTTACGGCTTCCACGTTAGTTTTATAATGGGTGAACTCACTCGAGCTTACACTTCTTGTATACTTGGAGTTGAACAGGTACGTCGATATTAATGAAACAATTATAAATTTCGTTTTCTGTACATTTTCTTTACGCTCTGGTATTGTTGATGACGGGCAATTTTAAACAGATTTGCTGTGGTTTATCAACTCTGTTGCAGAATATTAGTCTATCGCAGTTAGAATAGGATTTATATATTTATCCCGTGGGAGAGGAAAGTCGATGAGACGGCTTAATCACATGCCGAACCACGGCTTCTCGTTTGCTTACCAGTCCATGTCGGGTATGGGATTGGTTAGCCAGGTATTTATTTTAAAATGCATGAACTTGGTGGCGGAGAAAGCCGTAACCGACCAGCGTTATAACGTGAACCACCCTACGGCAGCGAGGAATCCAACAATCCAGTCGCACATAATTAAATTCCACGGGATTCGAACCTGAGAACCAACGCAGGGTAATCCGGGGTATTATGGCAAGCGTATTCCTAACGCTTAGTGTAGGGGTGCACAACCTGCGGCCGTCGAAGGTGAAATGTGCGCCCGTGCTCGTGTGTGTGTAACTGTTACGGAAAATCATAGCAGTACTTGTGTCCGTAATGGAAATAAAATATCAGTATCATAAAAAAGAAACAGTTGTAAATATTTTTTCATATCTCTGAAGCGGGATATCGTCAAAAGGTTCTTTAACCCCAGATAAAGTTAGATTTTTTTACGGCGTTTATGTAAAGAAGTTACTATTGTTCGAAGCCTGATCGCGGTGACGCCACTCTTTGAAAAAGTCATCTTTTTCGGCAAATAATGATTTTTTATGTTGCTCAAAATTTTTAATCCATGACCGATACGAGGATTTACTGTGAAATATCTGCGGACATTAAAATACGTGGTAAACCTGTCCGATCATCATAATCCGATAAAAAAGCTGAGTGCGACGCGGACGGTAATTCAAGAATGGTTAAGAAGGTACAACGTGGGCATAAATAAATATTTTAACATCGGTAATTGTGATATAGCTTCCAGCACAGCAATTTAAAATGTTAAATTTTGGCTATTCACGATATCCAAATTTTCTTTATCTGTCGCGGAATCCTAAAACAAAAGTTTAGTTATTGTTATTATTTTATAACACCGTTTTCAGTTTTAGTATTTACTCTAGTATTTTCAGTCGAAAATTTTAGTTGCACATTCACTGTATTATTATTTTGATTGGCCCCGCAAAATTAGGTCAAAAGTACAAATTCTTCAATTATTTCTGGAAAGGCCTGCTGTCGATGATCACTTAGAAATTTTCGCTTTTGACTGATTAAACGCGCAGTTTTGCAAAAAATAAAAAATTCAATTCCCATGTCCAATACGGCGAAAGCATTAGTAAAAGTCGTGAGATAGGGAGAATCTGCAGGGAGATATTCATCCAATTCGTGCAAATTAATAAACGCTGACGAATAATATCAGCAATTATAACGCAATAAACAAAGTAAAAATTCGTTGCGCTGTCAACGACCTCTTTGGTCTCACAGTAATTTCCAGTGGAAGTAAGTGTCGACCCTCAGTGCTCTGACTTCCTTCCGACTGTATATGAACTCCGAATATCCCTCATTCATCAAAATGATTCGATTCGATAAAAATACTAACCACTAAAAAATTTTATTTCTTAGATTTGTTTAAATTTCACCATTTCGTGAACGTTTCAGACGCAAGACAATATATATATTAATAAATACCAATTCTATAAACAAAAACGTAATGCGGTCGTCTAAAGAGAAAAGGTTGTGTCCCCCTGGCGTAGAGCGATGCGCCACACCGCCAAGCATGCTATTCTTGAACGCTCGCGTATAGTGTTGTTGTGACCCATAGATCGTATAAATCACTAAAATATTGATTGCAGATTCCCCCACAAATTTCCATTTATTGGTAATAGTTGCTGTGTGACTTTTCAGAGTGTAGCGATTTTATATTTGCCTCAAAATATTTCATTTTGAGTCCGGGACAAGGGATGGCACAAACGGATTCATTCACTTACGCTCATTGTGCTATGCCTTCTACAATATATATATCAATGTCAAGCGGTAAAACTATATTCCCTCTAATTTCGATATGTTCATTATTATCTTATGGTTATTTGTGTTGCCTTGTGTGCTGTGTTTGTCATGTTGCCCATGCTTCAAAACTATTTTAGGTTGGATTCACTGTTGCAATATTTGCGGCAGTCGACGGCACAGTCGCTTTAGCGTGCAAAAAAATTGTTCAACTTTTCGGAAGAAACCGAATTATATTGGTAGCACTGGTGCAGGATCTTGCTGTATATACTTTTTGTGTGTTCTGGAATCCTCAAATAAATACAACATGGGTCGTTTATTTGATATTTCTCATGTTCGGAGCCACCGACGGAATATGGAAGACAATGCTAATAGGTAGGCTTACTACAAAAGCACTCATTTTTGTAACGACTTCACACCCTGGCCGAGCGTTATTTGCCGTACTGAACTCAATTTTCCTCAAATTTGATGTGTCAATGCGATTTAATCTTTGTTTGACATTATATACAGAATTTAGATCTCAAAGCGTTTAATTTATTTCCGCTCTATCGATTGATCGGCAATCATGAAATCATCCGATCCATGTTTTACTAATTTTAAACAGCGATTTTCCTGAAAATAATTATGTCATGCCCGGTCATGTGAATAAAAAATGTCATGTATGTCACTAATTCCATCATTTCATTTTTAACATGAATTATTTTTGCAGTAATTTATCAAGATTATTTTCCTAAATGCCAAGAAATTGCTTTTTCTGCTTGGAACATGTGGATCACAATTGGTATTACTCTACAATTTCTATTCAGCACTATGATATGTGTTTATACCAAGATATACATCAAAATGTCTCTTTTCCTACTGGGAGTACTTCTGTACGGTATGAAAAACATTTATTTTTTAAATTATGACATATTAGGTCTGTTACACGAATGTATGAATGGTTTTGTTATTATGTTGTTCTTGTTCTCGTTGGTATTTTTCTTCGTATTGTTATGAAAAAATTGCTTTTCTCATTAACTATTGGACCAATCGCTTTGAAATTTTCAGTGATTAGAGTTTGTATTTTTCACTAGAAGGCTATTACTCATATTTTATTTATATCTTGTTTCTGCACGATGTTATGTGGAAAGAGGTATTTACATCCTTTGTAATTAAACAGCATAGCGTGTTTATTTACTCATTAGCGAATTCATTCGCAGTAAAGTAGACAAAGGACAATGCGCCCGTCCTAATCAAGTGTTTGACACTCATCCGGTGTGATACAAGTTGAATCAGTTGCATAACTTATTCCTACATTTCCAGGGGTTGCGGAATACATAAGAAAAAAAGAGCGCGTCGCCGGAAAAATAAACAAAGCAACTGGACCGGTTGCCAGCGAAATGAGAGAAATATCGCCGTTAAATGAAAACCAATCGTCCATATAGTTCTGTGCTGATTTGTACTTCACTCTGGATTGTGATACCATGGCGATCGACATATTATATAAGATTTCAATAGGCCTAACATATATATGATTTTTTTATTCGGTAACTCCATAGTTTAACATCATCGCTGATCCCACATACTATATATACACAAACTAATACAATTCTCAACATCAGATGTAGTCTCTTTTTTTCGTACTGTTCATTATTGTTTATCTAAACTTCCAACAACTGTAAAGGAAGGAAACGCAAGATGGCCATTATATATATCCCCAATGAGCCGGAGTCTCGGACTTGTCAAACTGCATCATGTTATTATTTGGCTTCCAAAGAAGACACAGGACACCTAAAACCACAGGACATTGTTGAATAACGGTCATATTTCGATTTCTATCACGTCGATCCGACACCAGAAAATTGTTTACCAACCAACATATTATTCTAACTTCGTTGTGTTTGATTTATAAAACCAATTCGGGTGAATAATGCATGGTTTTGGTGAACCTTTATGATTCACTTACGCCCATTATTGGCGTAAATCCCACTTTTGAATGAATCATCTGAAAACAAGATTAGTTTATCCCCAATTTGCATTATGCTTAAAGTTCTTTCAACTGTCATCAATTAGAATCGATATTTCACCGTCTTTGGCCCCAGAATTTTTTTTATTCTTTTTGAGAATGTTTTCTGAAAAATGCAAAATAAAACTCTAAATTAAGATTACACAACAATGCTCGAAATTACGTATGAGTTAAAAACATACAGCCTATATGCCGCTTGTTAGATTTTTATGCTTTTTGAGAGTGCTTTCGCGAGTTGTCCTGTGAAATCTGGTTCACAACTTTAAAATCGCCGTTTGAAACATATGATTCCTATCTAAAATTTGAAAACTTAACTGAGAACTACAAAATAAAACGCGCCAATGTTTACAATAATGCTTGAAAGTACGTAGCCTATGAGTGAAAAACATATATATATATATATATGTGCCGCTGGTCAAATTTCAAATTTAACGTCTTGTCGTAAATAAACGATGGGTGTTTTTGATTCTTGAACGTACTTCGAAAAGATTACTTTTGAAATATTTTATGAAGCAGTAATGTTGCTTGCTTGGGATGTATAATATACAATACAATTTTATTTCGATTTTTCGTCTACAACACAGAACGAACACAAAAACTATACACAGACAATTGCAGCAGAAAGACCGGGAAAATGGGCAAAACCTAGAGAAAGGTTTATAGCAGGGTCGTCCAACCCGCGGAAGCATTTCGAGTGATCCGCGCTGTATTTTTCAAAATTGAATAAAAAAAATAGTGTCGCCTTGCGTCAGTAACGTTCAGACGTTAGACCTAAATTATTCAAGTAAGCCAGAAATGGAAATTACCAGTTTTTGGACACGTTTAGTGGCCATAACGATCGTTTCAATATTATGTTGTTGTTCTTGTTCTTTGACACGTTTTTAAAAAATCGCTTTTCTCTTCGAATACTGGACCAATTGCTTTGAAATTTTCAGTGGTTAAAGATTAATTTCTTCGCTAGAAGGCTATTACTTTTATTTATTTCAAAATTTTACGTGAATTCTATGAAATTTGATATTTCGCCTAAAATTTTGCTGTATTATTTTTTATCCATGGGAACACGGATTTTAGTCAGTGTCATGACTGGCTGTACGTTTTGATTCTGCAAAATTCTTGCTACTGGAAATTCAGAACTTTTTTGAGGGTACCGGTAGCGTCAAAGGTACCGGTAAAGACTGATTCGCTCTGGTCTAACATGTCCGTATATTTGTGCGTAGCTCTCTTGTTTATTCTTATTATGTCAATGCTCTAAACATGGTCGTGTCTAAATAGTGCACATCATGAAGAATATTAAACGATCCATATCTTATTGATTTGTTACCGTATTGCCGTACGGGATACGGCCTATACCGGTCAGTAGGTATACACACCCTACAGTCCTATCTCAATACGGTACTTAAACATAGCCTATGTAGTTCCTACATTTTTCAATTGAGTAAATATTGTGCTATCAATCTGTATGTTACCGGTAATTATTCCGAATGCGACCAAAGTATTTTCACTCAGCATTACGATACCGGTACTACCACTACTGCTTACCTTCCGACCAAAGTTATCCTCTGTGACGTAGGTCGCCTCCATGGTAACCACTTGTAACTGTACACAAGGAACCCTCATGTGGTGCATTATTTTGCAATCATATTTGTGCTGTATATTGGATGATAAATGTACTAACTTATATTTATGTAAAGTGTGAATATTACTTGTTCTGCACGAAATGCATTCATTGCGAAGTGCTTATAATACATAACAATGAAAAAATAAAAATTATTTTTCGAGTGATGTAGAGGTACAATGAGCATATATACAATGAGTGGAAACTTGCGAAGATTTGCTCATTTTGGTATTGTTCCCTGCATTTTTTACGTCGTCCGGCTAAATGGTTCGTTGCATATTAAGAAAACGCATTGCTCACTGCCAAAATCCCTTGCTTCAGCCGAGTCGGGTGCGAAATTGGCGGTATTGAGGTCTTTAATTCTTCAATACATATTTGGTTTTGGGTTCCGAAGTATGGTACGCTGAAAGCATACAACTATGAGCATATGCTTATTGGGAATGCATATCTATTAGACAGAAAACGTAGCTACAGTACAGAATATGAACCAGTCGCCCAGTGGGGTGCGGTTATTTATGTATTTATTAGGATAATAAGGATAAGGATTTACATATTCATCCCGGGGGAAAGGAAAGCCGATAAGACGACTTATCCATATGGCGAACCACGGCCTCTCGTCCGGTTACCATTCCAAGTCGGGCATGGGATTAGTTATATTGTTTGTTTTCGGAAGCATGGACTTGTTGGTGGAGGAAGCCGTAACCGACCAGCGGTTACGTGAATCACCCAACGGCGGCGAGGAGTCCAGCAATCCTCTTGCACATAACCATCCCTGCATGGGATTCGAACCTGCGGACCCATGCAGAGTAATTAGAGGTGCGGTGGCGAGCGTATTCCTAACGCTTAGCCCGTTGAGCTACACCGCCGCGCATGGGATTTACATATTTATCCAAGGGTAGAGGAAAGCCGAGAAGAATGCCTAAATATATGGCAAACCACGGCCTCTCTCAATCATAGCTCTGTCCTCCATATGAATCACATGGCTCTGCGAGCTATTCGTTTGCTTATTAAAAATACTGATTTTAACTATTTCTCTGGGATATCTTGCCATTGAAAACAAAAGCCAGAAATTGGAAGAATAGCAGAGAATGAAATGTGTGTATTATGTAATGAAGAACCTGAGTTTGTTTCACATATTTTCATGTATTGTAAATTTACAAAAAATATTTATGAGGATTTTGTTTTAGATATATTAAAATTGATTAGTATACATTTTGTTATCAATATGATTCTTGCATATTATTTAATTTCAACGATCCTTTATATAGTCATATAGATACTGTTGATTTGGATGCAATTATACTTTTGTAATCAATAGTGAGATATAAAATTTTGACCATGAGAAATTCTATTATATTCGAAAATAAAACACCCCATTTTGCCTTTCTCAAAAAGCAGATAAAAATGGCCATAATATGTAGAAAAATATAGAGAATTATAGAATAAACAACCCATTTGAGAGGGAATTGAAAAATTTATGTAAAGCGTTATTTCAAAAAGAAAATTATATGTTTATGATATGTATTTTATATTTACTAATTTCATTTTTATTGTTTTATATCAATGCATTTATTAAAATAACCTAATTATGGTATGGATTACTACTGGAATTGAACAAAATAAATACTGAATCATGGATGCAACATGGAATATGAACTTATTTATATTAACCGTAATTAAAATCACTCATTGAGTGAACGAATGAGCATACTGTCATGCTTATTGGGAATACATACCATTTATTAGGCAGAAAACTTAACTACAGAACAGAATATGAACCAGCCAAGTGGTGACCTGGGATATTGTATTCATTGATATAGATAGTTTATTTTGAAAAGTCCACAATCTGACAATACAAACAAATAAAAAATGGAGAGTTCTGGAGAACGAGCAAAACCTTTAAAAAAGTTTAAAACACGATGAGTATCATGTGCCCGCCGTGTTATAGCAAGTAGTAATGTGTAATGAATTTAATTCACTGTGGTAAATGAATTGCTATCTTTTTATTTGTTATGAGCACACTTGCTGGAACTCCATAATCTATTATTTTATTTGTTAGTAACACTTTTTATAAAAATATCAAATTGTTTATCATACTTGCATCCATATTTCGCCCTAAATTCTATGACACTTTCTCTGTATCCAAATATCTATGTACATGACCACATTATTTATTTTTTAGTAATACTTCGTTTAAAAGTATCCTAATGTTTATTATACTTGCTATTCTGGTATTTGATCAATTTTTTGCCTTGAATTTTATTCTATGATACTTGCTCTGTATCCAAATATCTATATGTATATGAGCACTTTATTTATTTTTTAGTACCGGTAATACTTATTTAAAAATAACCTATTGTTTATCATTGCTATTTCGGTATATTATCAATATTTCGCCTTAAAATTCATTCTATGATACGTGCTCTGTAGCCGAATATAGATATGTACATGAGCACTTTATTTCATATATATATATATATCTGCTGGAGAAGGGTCAAATCCTGATCATGTATTAATGTGTGTCACTATCCTCCAAATCACTTGCCAGTCATAATCAAGTATTATAATTTGATGTGTTCAAATTATAGTGTATAAAGAAATATACTCATGATTTCATTACTATTATCAAATGTTTATAATTAAAGTGCTATAATAATAGAATTTTCCTCATCTTTGCTCATAAAAAACCCATGTCCTATCACATTAATTTTTAGTAGACAAATTTTCCAAATAATAGGTATCCTTGCTAACCCATTTTTATGCAGTTGATATGCAATACATGTCAACTTATCAGCTGAATAAATGATGATCTTAGGACAAAACATGATTATTTAGTACTTTCCAAATCAAAAATTCTTGTGAATAATGTATATAGTGAATACGGTATATGAGAGCTATTGAAGAATTTAACACCGAACCTGTTAAATGACCCCAAATGTTGTAACGTTGTCTCCCAGTCAAACACCTGAGCATCTCTTTTTTTTTAATATAATTTATATATGTTCATGGTTTGACGAACGAAATAAACTCTCTCTCTCTATTAGTTTAAAATACTGACTTCTGGACTTGGCTAATTTTATACATATCAAAACTTGTAAATATTTGCATATCAAAACTTGTCATTTATTTCGTTCCATCCATGTATTTTCAACTGTTTTTCCAATAAAACGTACTTATGCCTTACTGTTATTAGTAGCTTATTATTGTTAGCTAACTATTTTGAGGTGGGGGTGCGGCTTGAAAAGTTTGGGAATGCTTGTATGTAGTAGACCCTAACCTGGTACACATGGTTCCGGTGTCTACCAACTGGGTTTACATACTTCAATTTGTATTACAGTTGTAAAACAGAAAAAAGCTGAATGTCGGTCTTATTCCATCTGTAAATTTACCATATGGATGAAATGAAAAGTGACATATGAAAAATACAGAAGCTGTAGAAATATTTTGCATTCCAAAAAAATTAGTTCACATATTAAATATTTTACATTACAAAAAAAATGGTGCTCCAGAAGTATGTGTACCAATATGAAGGTAACTAATTTTGTTCGCCTATTTTATATCAAGTTGTGTAAATGGACTAAATTCTATCGGTAGGGGATATTCACTTGTGTAACACAGACAATTCCCGAACTTTTAATAGAACAAAAATAAGGAGAATCGTAACCTAACCTGGTACACATACTACAAGAGTACCGAAAAAACAGCCCACATAGTAAAAGCAGTTATGGAAATACTTTACATTGGAGAAAAATTAATTCACATAGTAAATAGCAGACGCAAGATGTATTTTGCATTGCAGAAAAAATAGCTCACATAGTTAATAGCAGTCCTGAAATATTTCTCACTATTGATAACAAAAGTATAATTGCATCCAAATCAACAGTATCTATATGACTATATAAAGGATCGTTAAAATTAAATGATATGCAAGAATCATA